TTCTCTCTCTCTTTCTTTCTCTTTCTTTCTTTCTTTCTTTCTCTCTCTCTCTCTCTCTTTCTCTCTTTCTTTCTTTCTTTCTTTCTTTCTCTCTTTCTTTCTCTCTTTCTTTCTTTCTTTCTTTCTTTCTTTCTTTCTTTCTTTCTTTCTTTCTTTCTTTCTTTCTCTCTCTTTCTTTCTTTCTTTCTTTCTTTCTTTCTTTCTTTCTTTCTTTCTTTCCACATATCCCAGTCTAGTCAAGTTCTTATCACATATCCCGGTCTAGTCAAGTTCACATACAGCAGAGGGTGACCTTGAACTTCTGATCCTCTTACCCCCCACCTTCTCAAGTGCTTGGATTGCAGGCGAGTGCCACCATGCCTGGGTGTGTACAAGAGGTGGAACCAGGGCTGCATGCACACTAGGCAATATTGTACCCACTGAGCTGTGTCCCAGCACAGGCTGGGTTCTTCTGTGACAGGGTTTGGCTCTGTGACCCAGGCTGGCCTGGCACTTGTGGTGCCTCTCCTGCCTCGTCGTCTGCAGTGCTGGGAAATGAGGCGTGCGCCACCATGGCCAGCTGAGATAACCATTTAGAACTTGTTACTTGCCCCTCCAGAAACTCTCCGTGCTCTGATTCAGACTGCAGTGTACGGCAGGGCTCTTGCCTCACAGACGGGAATGTTAGAGCTGAGGGAGATTTTATTGGCCTTAAAGGTCATGCGTGTGAAGATTAGCCTCCATGTCTGTTCCCTCCCTAGCTCTTCCCACTGTTGGACTGTGGCCCAGATGCTCCAGCGTGGTTTTCGAAACTCTTCCCAGCATGGCCTCATCTAACTCTCTTCCTTGGGAGCTCCAGCTGCCCTTCCCACCTCAGAGGCTCCTCTGCCCTCACTTTCAGATTCTTTCCATTCTGCAAATCCCAAACCAAGCGAATGTCTTTTCCTCCCACCGAGCCAGAGGTATGCACCGCCTCTGACCACATCCCTGCCTTGTGCAGAATTGTGCAGATGTCAGCAGAGTCCAGAACTGTGAGCACTCTCAGAGAGGGGCTCTCAGTTCATCTTTTAGGCTCTGTTCTGCGCATGGCTCAGATATAAGGTGTGCTTCTCCTGACTTTCGGCTACAGTGAATATATAACGAATTTCCTTGGCACTTTGGACAAAAGTAATCAAAACTATGAACTTGAACTTGGGAATTGCTTTTTTTGTTATTTTTGTAATTTTATCATCTCTAATCCCCCAAATAATACATTTAGGTATGGTGGCAAATGCTTGTAATCCCAGCACTGGGAAAGCTGCAGCAAGAGGATTGTGAGTTTGAGGCCAGCCAGAGAGATCTACCTAGCAAGACCCTGGTGTATGACCGCCTAGGAGTGCTGCTGGCGGTTTGCGCTGGGCATGCGCGTGCTTTACGTGGTGCCTTAATGGGCTGCCCAGCAAGTCTCAGCCCCTCCCGCCTCAGCCTCCAAAGCAGCTGGGGCTGTAGCCTTGCACGGCCGCGTCTGGTTCCGTGATTTTCTTCCTTATGAACAGCTTTGAGAACATGCTTTGTTTATTTTTTCTCTTTTATCCATAATCGTTCACTGTAGAAGAACAGACAACATTTATGCTCACACCCACATTGGAAGCATAATTTTTCCAACTGTTGTCTTCAAGTGTTGGTCAACATTTCCTGAGTTTGGCTCGAAGGGTAAGTGCTGTGGTTTCCCATGCTGACGCGTAGCTGAATTACCATGAATGCTGCTGCTGATTGATGAATCTGTCAGCTACAGGCTGGGAGAGCAGACACTGAGCGTGCCTCCTGTATCGTTTGGTATGCTCAGGTTGAGGTCACGTGAGCAGTGTGACCGTACAACTCACTCTAGAAGGAGACATTTTTTTTAAAAAGTGTGAGTGTTCATCGTGTTCATCCCATTTTTATGATTCTTTTTTAAACCTAAGTTTGAGATAAAAGCACAAGCTTTACGTGGTGAAAGCGACAGCTGTGCTTGGATATACCCAGCTCTCACACCAAGGCTCTTCGTCATGACTGGGCATGATGCTACCTTCCAGCATGAGACCTGAGTCACTGAAAACACAACTGTTACTTTCAGAGAAGGCTTTAGCTGGAAGACAGAATATGGCATGTGGGGAAGTAGGGCGTCTCAGAAGGTCGGCGCCATTACGAGGCTTCCAGAGAGCCCGGCCCTGCACACTGCTATGGCCAAGGCTGTTGAGAGCAGCCCTGATGAGTGCACTCTGCAGAGCCCTGCGCTGTGGTTGTCAAGAGACGGTTCTTTTATCTGTACCCTTTTCCCCTATTCAAATAAGGAAGTATTGGCGTGATTCTGATCTCCTCTTTGGGGCAAAGGTGGGAACTCCTTTGGTAATTCTAGGGCAAGAAAACCCAACCTCCAGGTTAGCAGGTGGGGACTGAGTGATGTCAAGAGTACACTCTGTATGTTCTAGAGCTTGAAGGGATTCCTGAAAAGAACGTTAAGTGTATAGGATTTACCCTCTGAATTTAAATACACACTTCCCCAGCCATTAAAAGGCTTTATAATTAGGATAGTACATTCTGCTTAAAATGGTCTTCACAATACCAAAGTGTGCCTAATATTTAAGATATATTATCTCCTTAAATTTACAGCAAAGTCCTAGAAAGACCAATGTTATCCTCCTTTTTCATCTGAAGATACCAAAGCTAAAGAGATTACGTAATGTAATTAAAAACATCCTCACAGTTGTACACCCACACACAGGGTGGGGTAATCATTCACCCCATCACCTTCTCTTACCTCCTCCCGGTGACCCCCTGCTTCGCCCCACCCGTTCCTCTCCTGGTTTGTGTTTTACCGGTCAAGAGGTCAGCTCTCGTTTGGTTGTACTGGGAAGGGACACACGCTTGCCGCAGCAAGCTTGCAGTGAGCCAGAGGAGCCCTCTGGGGAGTCGGTTCTCTTCTTCCACCATATAGGTCCTGGGGTGGCACTCAGGGCATCAGGCTTGGTGGCATCACCTCACCAGCTGCACATCCTCTGTGTGCGTGTGCGTGCCTTGTGCAGGTAACCACAGCGGCTGCGTGCTCACGATTACGGCAGCCGAGTCACATCCAGAAGACAGCGTTTCGTGGCCCTGCTGTCTGTCCTCTGGCGCTTACATTCTCCCCCTCCCCTTCCACAGCGGCCCCTGGGTTTCGGAAGGTGTGGTACAGATGTCCAGCTTAGGGCTGAGGCCCACAGGCAGTACTCACTGACCATCAGCACTGTAACAGGTCTTTGCTCTGCATTAATCATGGCCCGCTGTGAGAATATGCTTCTCTGACGCACACTGAGACCAGCACTGCTCTGTGGCAGTTTGTCCACTTGTCCATTTAGCAAAACATCAGTGGTGCTGTCCCTTTGGGTCCCAGCCGTGGCTTTTGGCCAAAATTACAGTACCAGACATGAATTTCCTCCTATAGAGGAGGCCTCAAATCCAATCAGGAAGTGATTGGTTAAACCCCTCCCCTAGCCAGCATCCGAAACGGTCTTGCCCTGTGGCCCGGTGGCCATATCCTGCCTGTCAGGTTGGCATCTCAGCACATAGGCTTTATAGCTTGGTAAGACAGCTGATGGCATCTCTCCCCAGTGGCCTGCTTAGCCCCGTCCCGAACTGTGAATGCCAGGCAGCAGGAAGGCGGCTCCCGGCTCAACTGTACCTGCAGCTGGCATCCTGCATCCAGACTGTGGCACCTTGAGCAGTTGCTCTTGATGTCTAGGGGTAAGAGCAGCGGTGATAGCCTGTGTTGTTTGGGAGGGTCTAGGAACTTCTGTAACCATTGCTTGTAGGGGGGTGTCCTGTACCTGGAGAGATGGCTCAGGGTTTAAGATCACTGTCTGTTCTTGCAGAAGACCCAGGTTCGATTCCCAGCTCTGACATGGCAGCTCACAGCTGTCTATAACTCCAGTTCCAGAGGATCTGATATCTTGTTCTGGCCTCCACAGGCACCAGGCGTGTATGCACAGACATACATGTAGGCAAAACATCCCGACACATAAAATAAAAATAAAACCAAAGCAAAACAAAACAAAACCCCCCAGAGCTTCCGGGAGCGGCATTACCCAACCAAGCAGGATGCCCCCACTCAAACTAAAATAGTGGGTTCCCTTTTGGTTGACCCTCCTCCTCACCCCCACATTTCCTCTGTCCCCCAAACCCATTTACCCCCATCACCGTTTAAACTTTCTACCTGTGGTATTCCTCCATTTTACTTTCATGCCACATGAGTTTCACTGCCCACCCACCAAAGACTTCCCCCAACCACTTTGTCATTTATCGTCAACACTTTGACAGGTCCCATGGCTGATGTAAGAAGATGCTTCCCTGGCCCAGACTGGGCCGAGACTGAGACCCAGACTCACACATCGCTCTCATGGCCCCTTTCTTGCCCCCTGGCTTCCGTGGGCTTTCACTCCAACTTAAAAATATAAATCTAAAAATTCAAAGCTAGGATCTGCGTATGAGAGGGAGCGGAGGAGGCTGCCCACTCAGGATAACGATTTTGTACTTAAGGCTCCACCAGTTTTAAGTAGTTTGTATCCGTTTGTCTGCTCTGCAGTGCTGAGGTTGGAGCCCAGAGCTTTGCTCCTGCTAGGCAAGCTCTCGGCTGCTGAGCTCTCTGCAGAGCCTAGCTTGGGCTTGACTCTGAGATGGTGATTGTATCTCCTGGGATATTATTCCAAAGAGGGGATGATTTCACTCCAAATGTGGCTTTGGAACCAACTTAAGTTCAGAAAAAGGCCAGCTGATGTTAGCACAGTAGGGTCAGTGATAAAATGATGGAACTGAAAAGGGACCTTAGAGATCATCTATTCTGACCTCCTTTTACAGGAAACTGTACCCCAAAGATACTGACGCATCTGATGGAGGTCACACAGACTTGGGAAAGCAGCAGAGGACTGTTGACTTGGGCTCCCTCACTCTGCTCACGCTGCTGCCCACCCCCAGTGCTGGGAATCGGGCCCTGCGTTTAACACTCTCTCCCTTTCTCTGCTCCGCAGGTGTTGCAGAGTCTGCAGACAAGATGGAGTCGGCTCCCTTCAGTAGAAGACAGTGGTCTTCCCTGTCACTGAGGGTGACAGCCAAAGAACTTTCTCTTGTCAACAAGAACAAGTCGTCGGCAATTGTGGAAATATTCTCCAAGTAAGTGCTGGTCCTGGTCCAAAAGGACCGTCTGTCTGGAGCAGGCTTCCCACCCGTCAGGAAAATTGGTGAAGCAGGGTAAAATGGATGGCTTGAGCACCCCTGGATTTGCACCCTGTAGTCCACTGTAAAGAAAAGAAAGGGAACAACGAGAGGGGCCCTCCTCTGTCTTTGAACTTTTGTTTAACTGAGGGGAAAAAAAAGTTACAAACAAACAAGCAAAAGATTCTTATAAAATACATAAGTATAAAGCGAAATGTTACGGAATGGAGTGGAGCGCAGCTCGGGGCTGATGAGGGAGCAGGGCCAAGGGTGCGGCTTGTGGCCGCAGCTGTCATGGAGCGTGCTTTGTTTGGTTTTGTTCATTCCTTGGTTTGCTTGCTTGTATTGTAGCTCAGGCTGGCCTTGTGCCCACTCTTTAGTTGAGAATGACTTTGAACTCCTAATCCTCTACTTCCCAAACGCTGGGGTTATAGGTGTATGCCACCATGCCTTGTTTTTTGTTTTATACTTTTTTTCTTTTCTTTTTTTTACTCTCTACTCTGTAGCCCAGGTTGGTGGCCTAGAACTCACTATGTATCCCAGACTGAGTTTGAACTCATGAACAAAAGTCTATCCCCAGCTTCCTGAGTGCTATGTTCCACAGTGTCCTGTGAAAAAATAGTATAACTTTTCTTTTTCAGTGCCAAGGGTCAAACCCAGAGGCCCATACACGCCAGACACCCATCCATCCCCGAGCTGCATTCCCACCTATAAGAGTTCAAACAACATTTAAAATTAAGCTCATCAGTTACACTTGTAGCATTTCAAGGCTCTGACAGACAGTAGGGTTTGGCAAATAAAGATTTAGTGAAACACAGACATCCATTTGCTTTTGTGCTAAGCCAGCAGAGACCCTGGATTTAACAGAGGCTATTACCTCAAAAGTGTAAAACTATTTCCCATCTGGCCCTTTAAAAAAATGAGAAAATACTTGCCAGCTGGGTGTGGTGGCCAGCACTGGGGACACAAGGGCAAGAGGATCTGGGAGTTGGAGGCTATCTTGGTCTACAGAGCGAGTTCCAGGATACCCAGGCTACACAGAGAAATCCTGTGTGTGGGGGGGTGAGAACGGGGGCTGAAGCCCTGAAGAGCTCACAGGGAGCGCACAGGTGCTAAAGGAACAGTCCATACAAGCCACCACATCAGAAAGAACAGCACTGCCTCGGGGGGCAGAGCCCAGCTCAGGTGGTGGCCTCGCTGGGCACTGCCCGGAAGCTGCTGCGCTCCGAGGAGAGTGAAAACGTGAAGGCAGGGATCCAGGAGCTGTGTCTAGGATCTAGTTAAATGCCAGCAGGAAGTTTCTGTAACCACAGGGCCGCCTTTTCTTTGACAACAAATCCCTTATGTGCCTGCTCTGTGGCAAACACTACTCTGGGCTGTCTCCCGAGATGGAGTGGGGGCTGCGGGGGATGGGGACATGACACACCACATGCATGGACACACACACACACATATATGGACACGGACACAGACATACACATACAGACCAGATTCAGTTTGTCCTTACTGTTTGTAATGCATTCTCTGTTGCTGCAATTTTATGCCAAAAAGTGTCCGTCTCCCACAAGAAGGAAACAAATGCATTTGAGGTAAGACATGATGAAGATGGAAAGCTGTGACGTCTTAAGACAGACCTGATGTAAAGCTTTGCTGGTGAAACAGCTCAGCGGGTAGAAAGAACGACTCATCTAGAGTAGTTATTAATAATACAATGCCCTGTTCTGTTTAAGTCTTGATATACATGGTGGCTGGTGCCTATGCTGCCACAGTCGGAAGCTGAGGCAGAAGGATCACTGTTTTGAGGCCAGCGTTTGGGAGTGTGAGGCGTGAGGATCGCAGCTTCAGGGTCTGCCGGGGCTACAAGCTGAGCTGAAGGCTAGTCCGAACAAGTTGCTGAGACCCAGCCGAATAAGTGAGATGGGCACAGGCTGCGGGCCTGGAATCCCAGCACGTGGGAGGCGGAGACAGGAGGATCACTGCCATTCTGATTCACGCAGAATTCCAGAATGGGGGCCGGGGAGAGCTCAGTAGTTAGGAGCGCTGACTTGTAGAGACCACGTAATACAGGGTGGAGAGAGGACAGCAAAAACCTTCTCTAGGTCTGGGCCCCGGACTGGTCTGGAGTGCTCTGTCGGGGTCTTCGGGCTTGGGGACGCGTGTCTAACTCTCAGCACGGCTACGTGGTCTTAGTCGGTAAGCACCATGGCCGGCCTGAAGCAGCCTTGTGCGCAGCTCATAGACCTTGTCTACGCCGGGCAGAGTTGTAGGCTTCCTCACCCCCTTTCAGCCAGTGAGGTATCGGGTTCACTTTACACTACGCTGATCATAGCTGTGTTCAGGTGGGCACCTCACGCCACTTCTTGTCACAGCGAGCACATTGTCTCATCCATCACCACAAACATGAGCGTTTTACGTACTGTACTGTCTCCTCCGTGCTTTACGTGCTCTCCACATGGCTGCTCTTCCAGAGGATCCGAGTTCAATTCCCAGCACCCATGGGCCACATCAGACTCTATAAACTCCAGTTCGTCAAGGGTACCGACACCCCCGTTGGCCTCCGCCAGCACCAGGCACACATGCTGTACACAGACATACGGTAGACACAGACACCCATACACACGACGTAAATAAGCTTAAAAGGAATTCCAGGCCAGCCAGTGCTTCACTGCTCTAGGGGCGTAACTCAACAGTACAGATTTGCCTGCCCTGCCCAGCCTCACTAAATCTGTAAAACTCACAGGCTAGAATAACAGCAGTATTCTGTTTGTAACTATCTAATGTGGGCTTCTCTCTCCTCAACTTAGCATCAGCTGGGTGCCTCCCAGGCTGGGGGCTGCAGAGTCTGAAAGCTCGCTCGCTCACTCACTCACTCACTCAGCTACTCACTTTCTCACTTACCTCTCTCTCACTCACTCTCACTCACTAAATACGAAGTTGACGCTGGCTGCTGTCTGGAAGCTGAGCTGGAGCCAGGGCTAGAGTACCTGCACACGGCCAGTCCATGTGACCGCTTGGCTTGGTGGCTGGGTTCCACCAGCTTCTCAGGCAGAAGCCCTGAGAGGAGGGGGGCAGCAAGAGGAGAGGAGCTAGCAGCTCTCTGCCTGCCCATGACCTTGGCCTTGGACGCCATACCCTCTTGGGCTGCCATAGTCTCAGATGTGATTCACTAAGGCTGTTGCCTATTCCAAAGGAAGGGGTGGAGTTTGGCTCCATCTTCTGGATGGCAAAGATATTTTCAACCTTTTGAACCTTTTTTTTTTTTTTTTTTTTTTTTTTTTTGAGACAGCATCTTAGACCTCATTATGTAGACCTTCAACCCCTGGGTTCCCTGTTGCTGCTACCCAGATGCCAAAGCCCAGCACCCACCACCGTGCCTGGCACTTGTCCCCTTTCTCAAGTCCTAGGGATTGAACCCCAGAGCCTTGGGCATTCCAGGCACATGTTCTACCACAGAGCTACAATACCAGTTCCCTTGAACAGGTTTTTTAACCCATCTTCCGTGGGCCTCTGAGGCCTTCCTGAAGACTCTACTGTTGTGTGCCTGCAGCAGGGCCCAACTATCTCAAGGGGGTCTCCTTTGTTTTGTTGAGACAGCGTCCCTTCCAGCTCAGGCTGGCCTTGAACTTGCTAGTACCTGCAGATAACCTTTGAACTCCTGCCTCCACCTCTTCCCGGGTTATCCCCCCCTCCTCCCCAGGGAGCTTGAGCAATCACTGATAGTGTAGGTGGTGGCCTTGCGAAATGAGACTGGAATGTAGCGCAAAGTGAATGAGGAAAGGAGTGGAGACTGGGCGTGACAGTAGTAAAGCAAGCAGGAAAGGGCTGGTGCAGCTCAGTTAGGCCAGATGGTGAGCTTGGATGCTGTGCTGTGGTTAGGGTTCAGCTGGATCAGCAGCAAAATGCAATGGAAAGTTTTCGTGCAGGAGACTGACAAGATGAAACTTGTGCTTTCCCAAGATCCCTCTGGCAACAGCCTGACAGATTTATCGGAACAGTGAGAGAGCCGTACGGTGGAGGCAATTAATGGGGCTTTCATGGGAGCCCAAGTGAAAGCTGCTGGGGTGTGGGGGCCAGAAGGAATGGGAAGAAAGAAAGGGATATGAGACAGCGCAGAGATATGATTAATGGGCCTTGGAAACCCCCACCTCTGCAGAGAAACTGCTCAGCGTTCTTACCAGTCCTCATCCTCAGGCCCCTGCAGTTGGCTACCCTTGGCTTCCTCACAGTGTGAGTTCTGAGCCTGGGTAGTGGCCGCCTGCTCCTTCCGCACATGTGTTCCTGAAATACCTGGGGTCAGGAGTCACAGCGGCCGCTCCCCTTCATCACTGGTCCCAGCTCTCGTGGTTTGCCCTGTCTGTTCTCAAGTCCCCAGGGCTGCTCTCACTGAGCCCCTAGCCCTGCTAGCCCTCACTCTGCTGCAGTGAGCGGCACGCCAGGCTTCAAGCCACACTCCTGCCTTCAGAAGACCTTCCAGCATGGTCTTCTTTTTGCTATTCCCCACTGTGTGTGCCTGTCTCGGTGATTTTAGGTAAGGCGTATTTTTCCTTAAATATAGTAATCTTTTTTCCTCCTCCAAATGTAGATGTTTTGACAAAAAAAAAAAAAAAAAAGTAAGAAAGAGGCAGGAGAAAAACCAGTAAGGTTCTCCATGTTTCTAGTTGCCGCTGGCACCAATAAGTCTTTGGTTCACGTCACCTCACACTTTAAAATTTCTTCATCTTCTCTACTTCTCATGTCTCTGTGCCCCTGCCTCCAGCTCCCAGCTACTGTTACCCGAAATCCTTCTCAGAAAGGACAAGTTGGCAAAGCGCCCTCTAGAGCCTCTGCTGCCGCTTGCTGCATTCCCCTGTTCCCACAGGCTCCAAGCCTGAACCTCACCAGGACTGTCCTGTGACCAACCAACATGGTCCCTCACTTCCGTGACACTCGCTCCCCTCTGCTGTTTGTTTTTGAGCATT